TGCTCTTTTTCTTCAAAGTAGACTCCGGGATACTCGAGTTCTTGATCACGGACATGTTGTCCGCCTTGACATGAGCTGGACCATCGAGAGGGACTCCCATCATCCTGAGCTTGTACCGCAAGCCTTCACAATCTCGATTCCAACCTTCATCGCCGCGAACTCAGATCCAAGGAGGAAGTTTCAATGGAGCCTGCTTCTTGCTATACCAATAATTGGGACATGTTAGCAAAGACGATACACCAGTACGCGAACGACGTGTCACCTTGTCCCAGCATGGTCAGAATCCACAACCATGGTGATTTGGATTGGTTTGCCGAGAGGTTCGGCATGTCTGGAGGCAAAAGCTCTTCGCATCGGCATAGAAATCGCCCCAGTCAGGTCGCTCTGGTTCACATGATTCACATAGGAAGGACAAAAACAAGGTGAGAACGACTGTGCTGTTTGAGATATGCCAAGATATGAAACACAGCGTCCAGGTGCCCAATCGTGGGGCTGCACAGTACGAAGCCATGATTGAAACCTCGGTGCAGATGTCAATTCTCCCGAGTTCCACGGCCCATCGTAGCCCTCCAATCTGCTGTTGAAAGTAATTCTCCACTCGTCATCACAAAGGTTTGAAACATCCAACTCCGGGGTGTAATTGCTCGGTAACACTGAAGTTCTTTCGACTTGAGCGTCTTCCCACGTCGCTCGAGCCATGTCCCCACATTTCTGACAGCCTCCTTGACATACTGTTCAATCCCATTGACCAACATGGTTTGTCAACCCCAGGGAGATTGTACTCCTTGACTGAAGCTCCAGATACTGAGTTGGCTTTCCCAGGATCCTGGCTTCAACAGGAAATGCTGATCCAGGTAGCAGAGTAAGGTGTTTGGGTTAGTTGACAAGCAAAGGAGATCATCTGTGTATACCAAAATATACTCATAGTATTCCTTCCGTCAGGCCTGGTGGCGCACGAAACCAGACATCATTGTCTGCCTTACAAGAGGTGAACCCAGGTTGTCTCGCAGAACATCAGCTAAGTGGGCCCTCCATGCTGCTCCACTTGATTTGAGGCCATACAGGGCCTTGACGACCTTTGCTTTGCGTCCCTCAAATGGGCCAAATTCCTTACCGCATGTGATAAAGATCTTCTCTCGAACTGGGGCATTCAAATATGCATTGCCAATATCAGCTGCCAAGATATCCAAATCGTTCAATGCTGCAATCAAGAAGGCCAGTCGTACACTCTCTGACTGACAACGCTGGCGTGGTGATGGACGAAGGGGGATCGGTCATATGCCCCCAGCGACCAGACGTGCCTTCCTTGTAAAGTCCTTTTAACGTCAAAAACCATATGGCAACGGATGTGAGTATGTCCAACTGGATCAGGGGCATCCTCTTCCAAGATCTCAAAAGCTTTGCCGACGGCTGCCATCTCTTTCTTAATGGCATCATGCCAAAGGTTGTACCAGTTTCCTTGTCAATCTCAAGGGCATGCTCCACTGTTTTGGGAAGCTCAACCCCATATTTCTGTTCCTTGCGAAAGTAACGCTTCGCAACAGCAGAGATAATCCGATTCCCTTCTTGAGGGTGTAAGGGACCCACCAAGAGAAAGCTGGCTCTGACTCCAAGCCATTGTTCTGTGCATACTCTGCCGTCTGAATCAGGTAACCATCTTTCATGTCCTTAAGGGACTGCCATGAGGTGGTCCCATCCTTCCACTGGCACAAAAGTTTCCACCCTTTGGTGGTCCGTCGCAAAGTCTTCCTGCCATTCCGATAGATGTAGGCGTCGTCCCCTGAAACAGCGTGTCCATCCTTCGCATGGTCCAAGATATCCGCCAATTCAAACAAAGTGTAGCCGTCATCATCCACCTGAGCATAGATAGACTCTGCAATGATGTTGGCCGAGTAGGCCTCGGTCTCGCCACTGTCAAACTCCACCTCATAAAGGGAAGTATCAAGCAATGGGTTAGAATTCGAAAGACCAATCAGTTTTCCATCTGAGTTTCTCTGCGCTTGGTGACTGTGCCATAAGACATTTGGTCTCCCTGTGGGACACAAACACGAGTTGCAATGTACTTATCGAAGGCCTCATGTTGCATCTCATCTGCTTCTGACAACTCTGGCAGAGGAGCTGGGTCACGATCATCAATTGGCTCATAATACTCTGGTATCTCTTCATCCTGACGAGATTCAGCATCATCACTGCTGGCCAAAAACATAACGCTTGCCAAGGGACTTCTTCAGGATTCTGTGAATGCTGCCTTCTTGGATTCAATCACCGGGCTCAGCTTCTCCTGGTCTGATAAGGGGATGACAGATGTCCTAGAGACCAACTGGCCCTTCTCGGTGAGGATTCGGGCACACATAGCGTCCCCAATGTCAGTGCTGGGGCCACAGTAGCGACCAAGGCGCTTCCCTTTCCATTGACTCGCCCTGTCTCTCAGGAGAAAGGTACCAAACCCAATCATACCATCCAAACTCACAAATATGTGAGATGTCAGCAGTGTCCCTGTCAAAAGAGTAGAGGGAACTTGACCATCCAAATCTCGGATCGGTAATGCGGTATGACTGCGAGTCACCCGCACTCGGTCGCTTACCATTATGTCCGTGAAAGAGTCGCTGCAGGCATGGCAAACATCACATATGAGAATACTGAGAGCAATTTGGCGGATATGCTGACGAAGATCCAGAACGGGCCTGTGAGACAGCGACTGGTTTCGAAAGTCCTCTACTAACAATCTGCAAAAAGGCAACATGACCATAGGGTGGGCCGTTTGGTGAACGGCAGGTCTGAGCCTCCAAGGGGCCTTGCCCCAAGGGTACATCCTGTTTCAGACTTCCGAAGTCTGTTTTCCCATTCCAAGTGCAATCTAGAGTGAGATAGATCCCCCTCTAGCTTGAGGGGACCGAAAATGACCTGTGGTAGCGATTTATGAATATCCAGTTACCAGATTACTAGAAATCAACCACAACCACAACAACCAAGTAGAAACACACACAACACTATAGCAACCTCTTTATCAACACCATCATCAGCCTTTTTCGATAGAAGAGCATCGAGGTGAATGAATTTTGTTCGGATGGTAGACGTATCCACGAATGAAGACTTCTCCACGGAACTTTCCACGACACAGCTATCTCCTCTTTCGATACCGGTAACCGGTACGATGTACCACCGGTAGGTTTAAAGGTAGCGGTACTAGCTAGTAGGTAGTCTTCCGTACCAAGGTACCTGGTACCGGGACTGTGCGGATCGCAGCCCCGAAAGCAAAGCAACGGAATAAGTACACAAATGCTCTGATACGGACCAGTCTTTGGTCTATTTCAAGTCAGTTGCAACCATGAGACCAAAAGGAGTTATCTGCCTAGTGCTTGAGCTGTTGATGTTGGCCTCTAGTGCATCAGCAGGAGGCGAATGGTTGAACAACGGGGTGGAAACAGAAGAAACTTTTGTGGAGTATCCACCTGAGATTCAGACCTTGGCGGCGAAAGAAATCCAATTGTACACGGGCACCTTCAATGGAACCACAAACACAGGAGCAAGCTTTCCAGTGGTGAGAGCTTTTACGCGATTCCCCGAAACGGTGCACAACAAGATGGTATGGCCTTTGCTAAAGGGTCTGACCAGACGTTTCTACCCACTGCTTGGGCCCCACGCTGTGTTCTAAGTAGAAGACGGCATCAGCTTTGGTTGTCGCAAGAAGACCACTGGAATTGAACGGCCCGTGGACTCAAATTTCTGTAGCGCATACTGTACTGCATTCGTAGAGGACGCTACTGTGTACCCTATGACTCGACAGAGGAGGACATCCCGAATCGAATCACAATGGCCGCGCTATCATCGAAGAGGTACTTCGAAGATCCTGTCTCATCCATCATTACCATACGAAACAGATGAAAGTCTACGACTATATGGAATTGTTCCACAGGAAGCATTGTCTTCGCGAGAAAAACATTTCACTCTGTTCGTTGGAGACGATGCAGGATGTGGGAGCCCATCATTCCTCGTTGAAAGAGTGCTTACAGGAAGACAAAGTGGACGAAGACGTGGCCTCAAAAGTGCTAGATAGGCACCTACAACACCTCAAAGGAAAGAAACTGGAAGATTTTCCTCTGGTGGAGGTCAATGGCCAAGCATTTTCAGTCGACGAGCAATGGCCTTTCAATTCCCACTCCTTACTGGCACACTTTTGTGATGCTTTTGATGATCCACCGTTAGCCTGTCAACATTGTCTTGCTTGTGAAGATTCGTGAGTACAAGGAAACTGCGTTGCTTGATTTCGGACCTCTTACATGACTCTAACCGATGGAGCACTCTGCAATTTCCGCGGTCTCTGCTTGTTTGGTGAATCAACTCCTCGATCGCTTTGCAACACAGACGAACCTGCCTATGGAAATTGGCCTGTGACGGAACGCCCCTCTTCCAGGATGGAACTTCGGCTCTTGCCAGCACCCCGACCTTGGAACCGAACAAAACTGCAATGATCACGGTGAAACCGACTGGTGCTTCGACAGCTGCCGTTTTGAAGGACAACCAAACCGTGTCTGCCGCTGACATGAACCGTGGCACCGGCCTTGATGGACTGGGCATTTTTACAATATCGATTGTTTTGCTCGCCGTGACCTGTCCAGTCCTGCTGTTGACCTACAGGCATCTACGAACCAAGCAACTCATGGACGAAATCTTGGCGTCCCTCTCGTCGGAAGATAATAAACTTGAGGACGTGTTCATGGACAAGACAAGTGATTGCGAGTACGAAGCAAAGTCGACCAATCATTTAGGAGAGTCCTGTCGTCGCAAGAAACCGGATATGTGTGCCGTGGCAATCGGACAGGTATGCCCCCCTCACGTACGGCATACATCATCCATTCATGCGTCCTGAAAGCCCTGACCTCTACGTTTCTCATTGTGTCATCGTTGTCTTCCACCGCCCTAACGTCAACCGTACCGGTAGGCTATTGATTGCATCGAAGGCTACATTGGTCCGACCAGTCCTACGATGCGTGACACTTTCGAGGACGAGGATGAACTAGTTGAAATTGTGGAGGAGGAGCTCATGAGTGTGGAGGAGGACGATATCCTAGTCGAAGATCTTTTGGACGACGAAAGCGCATCTGCTCTAGACTATGGGCAGGGTAGTTTGCATCGTGCGGAGTCCAATCTAGGAGGATATGATAATGAAAAACCAAGCACAGATGGACCCCAGGCTGAATCAGTTCAAGCAGCAGGAGGGTCGCATCAGACGAAGTCGAATGGTGTGATGCACCCGTACCGACGTGAATCCAAGCGTTCAATGGAGTTGCAACAACGAGTCACAGCTCAGCAGGAAGGTTTTCCTGCTCAGTTCCGCAAGGACCGAGAAGACGTCATCTGGACAGAACTGATGTGCTGAACACACGAGAAGATCTTGGCATCATCAAACTTACATGTACCCGTTTCACTTCAAGCTGGATCGTGACTTCTAGCCGCTTTAGCATTAATCGTTTTGGCGATTCGGCAGTTTGTGCTGATCAAGAGTAAAACTACTTACCTGGTAATTCAGTCACTTTTTGCTAAAATCGTATGATTAATCGTTGTACATGTACCGGTAGCTCCTTGAACCTTTAGTTTTGATTTTTTTTAGTATTGTTTTCTTGAGGCTGAGGCTTAAAAGCGGTAAAGAGAATGATTACCTGTATGCTACCTTTACTCATTTAGTTCAGCCTTCCCATTACGTTTTCATGACGATGCTTCAAGAAGACTCGTTGGCGACCGACCAAGATGGGAAGCTTAGCTAGTGGTGAGGTTTCTCGGAGCTATGTAGTGGCTACAGTACAGGGGGGTGAAGGCGTCGTAGGCGATATCGACTCGCCTCTTAGCCTTGAACGATCGAGCTAGCAGTGAGACCTGGTTTGTAGTTGGTCCTTGTAGCGACAAAAAATTGCTTTAAGATAGCTCCATACTCCCTCCTTTGTTGGCCCCAGGTCGATATGGATCTCGGTATCCGTAATCCATTGTACTGACTGGCATGTGGCCGTAACCTCGATGCTGGCCACCCATTACCGAACGAAAAGGCATCAACAACATTTTGAACGCACAACCCGACATTGTGATGATCAATCGACAGCAACTGTTTTCGAAAAACGAGCCAGACGTAAAAAAGTTTCGTGAGACAAGTCCTCGATCAACGAATCACCACTTTCGACATGTATTATTGAATCACAGTTTGCCCACCTTGCATATATGCCATCCGGGTTCTCACTCATTTGGTGGGCTGTGAAGACCATTGCAACGAGAGCCAAAAAGACGCCAAAACCACCGATGCGACGAACTTCCCGTTCTTCCTGAGCCAGCTCTTCCTCTAGCTCTTCGTATTCTTCCTCTTCATCACTTGATGTGCTATTGTCGTTGGCATCGGGCTGGGCTTTATTGGCAGCATTCTGTTGATGGGAACTGGCGACTGAAGGTTCAGTAGGTTCAGGTATGTTTGCCGCAACTGGAGCATTCGTAGATTCCACGGAATTTTGTTGTTGAGGGACAACGGTCTCTGCCGGCAATGACTGCTCCTCTTCGATCGGGGGTAATTCTTGGGTTGAATCCTGCGGCTCGGGCAGCTCTTTTGTCGTGTGTAGTTCCGACTCGTCGTTATATTCTGGTTCAGGGACTGTTGTTTCATGCGTTTTCTCATCTTCGGGTGTTTCTGTGAATGATTCTTCCTCTTCAAATGGAAGTGATTCGACGGTCGGATATACAGCTGCTGAGGGAGCGGCAACGGTTTGCTCTGTTGGCATCGATGCTGGCATTGTTTGTCCTGTGTGTTCACCGGAAGGTTCACGGGCAGGTTGTTCATAGCTATATTCTTCTTCTGCTTCCTCCTCCTCCTCTTCTGATCCAGGGGAAAACCCGTAGTCGGCTGTTGGCCCCTTTACAACCGCTGGGACACTTGCTGATGGGTGCGTGAATTCGGACATTCCCGAAAAGTTTTCTTGTGTGTATTGTTCCACAGTGGGCTCTCCTTGTGCAACAGGTGCATATTTCTGTGCAATTGTGGGGACATGGAATTGAGCAGGTGCAGCGGCTGGGTAGTTTTGGGTGGATGGTGACGTCGCAAACATGTATTCGTTAGTTTTTGGCAATGACCAATCTTCTTCCTCGGGATCAAAGTTTTCTGCCGTGGGTACTCCAGTTTCAGGTGAATTGAATGATGACTGTCCTTGCATGTTTTGGGTCATGGCATCATCGTCCCAATCTCCATCAGAAGGTTCCTCCGTAGCCAGTTCGGCATCGTTCCATGGATCTTGCGTTTGTGGAGGTTGTTGATGCTGATGCTGAACGACATGACTATTTTTGGAGTTGGATTTCGAAATATTTGGGGATCCTTTGGCAGGTTCCTGGTGCACATTGAAACCTAGGTTGTTGGGTGCAGGTCGCAGAGTTGAGTGAGGATGCGATGAATGCGAAGATGACGATGTCGGTGCATGTACATGTGCAGAAGATGACTTTGAGGAATGTGAAGAAGTGGCACTTGTAGTAGTTGAGATAATCGCCGGTGACGGTGGAGAAGGCTCCGCCAATGACTGTACGAGAATGGGGCTTGCCGTTGGTTCCGAGGTAGAAGGTGCAGCAGTAGGGGGATCGGTTGGTTTTGGTCCAAAGAAATACCCCACCAGATTTCTCTGCTTGTAGAAACCTCTTAGCCCAGTGCTGCCTGCTAATAATTTGCGTGGCTGGGTGGGATATTTTTGGCCGTGGGCTGTCTTGCCATCATCCATGGGGTAGGTTTGTGCTTTTCGAGCTATTGGCTCTAGTCGCAGAAAACCACTCTGAGGACTGTCACTTGTTTGTTTGGCAACTCCCTTTTTTGTTAAGTGGCTCTCCAAGTCGTTGTCATTGTCATTGTCGCTGTGAGCCTTGAACTGGTTTCTACCGGTGGGAGATAATGACAAGCCACAGCACAACAGGCCTTGGAGCACCAAAAGAAACACACAGAGCTGGCTCGATTGTGTTTGTGTAATTTGCTTGTGTCTATCGGTCTTGTTCTTCGCCATGGTTGTGGTCTACACCTGGTCTACACCTACCCAAAGAAGTAACCTTACAACAATGACTACGGTATTACACGGGGGGCCGATTTCAGGAGTCACCAACAACACTCTGTTTCTATTTTTGACGGTACGAACGGTGCGGCGGCTTCTCGCGGCAATGATCAAATCGGAAATCCACCGAAGCCGCGTGATCGTCGCATCTGCGTGGACGCGATCCACAACTTCAGGAAGTTGAGGTAACCAAAATAAATTATTATTGCTACCGGTATTCAAATGACGCGAATTCATTGTTTTCGATCGTGTGTTGATAACCATTGATTGCCACCATGGCCGACTGTGGAGCATCGGGTACTGCGCTGGATCAGGCCACACGGGCCCTGATGGGCGGAACAGGCAGTGCCAGTGCTCTGAATGCCCAAAAGCAAGTGGAAAACTTACTGGGACACACGGCTCTCACAGGAGCAAACGGTCAAGCCGTGATTCCACACTCTCAGCCACAATTCGTCTCGCCGACGCTGGGTCATGGCCATGACACATTGTTGGCGTCCGTACCACAGCGCTCAGCCTATCCGCATGCAAATCATCATCACCACTTCCAAAGGCCACACCAACAGCATATGCCTGCAGAGTTCGGTGTGGCTGTCGCGCAGCAAATGAACTATTCCATCCCCAACAATCACTTTCTGCACATGCAGCAGCAACAACAACACGCAATGGCAATGGCACACCACCAGCACCAGCAACAACAACAACAAATTCAGCACCTTTTGAAACGACAAATGGAAGCAAATCAGGAAAAAGAACAGCATGAAACGGCACAAGAGGTTGCCCACGAGTCGTCAATTGACGATGTTGCCGTGTCCGTGGAAGACCTGCAAGAGGCGCTTGGCGAGCAGGACTTTGATGAAGGAGTTCCTCGAGGAGCAACCATTGAGGAGTTGGCTGCAGCATGGGCCGAAGCCCAGGACATGGCATTTGAAGCCGACGTGGCTGCTGCGGGAGTCGATCCGCTCACCGATGATGCCGGAATTCTTGGCCCTACGGGGGAATTCCAGACACAACCATACCAATTCGTAAATAATCAAGTCCAGCAAAACATGGAAAAACTATCCAACACAAACTTTCTAGAAGAAGGTATTCAACAATTCAAGCAGGGAAATCTTGCTGAGGCTATCAAGAATTTTGAAATGGAACTACAGCTCAATGACCCCGACAACTCGGCGGCGTGGTTAATGCTGGGAAAGTGTCATGCTGAAAACGACATGGACAGAGATGCCATCTTGTGCCTAGAAACTGCTGTCGAAAAGGACCCTTACTCGACCGAAGCGCTCTTGGCTCTGGGGGTATCCTATGTCAACGAGCTTAATCATGCCAAAGCACTCTCGGTCTTGAAAAGCTGGGTCACCACTAATCCCAAGTACGCTGGAATGGATCTCAGCTCGGGAGAGGACGTATACGGAGACGTACACGAGGGAGCCAAACAGCATGATGCAGACTTTGCCGAGCTACAAGATCTCTTGCTCAAGGTTCTTGAGTTCGATCCGGATCCGTCCATTTGGGAAGCCTTGGGAGTCGCTGCCAACGTCAGTAGAGACTACGTCACGGCTGTTGAGGCATTCCAAAAGGCTGTCGAAGCTCGTCCAGACGACTACCAGTTATGGAACAAGCTGGGGGCCACTCTAGCAAACAGCAATCAGAGTGCTAAAGCATTGAACGCGTACCACAAAGCTATCGCCTTGAAACCGAAGTATTGCCGTGCATGGCTCAACATGGCTATCTCCCACTCCAATCTGCAAGACTTTGACGAAGCTGCTAGATGCTACTTGCAAACACTGAGTTTGAATCCAAGTGCTGTCCATTGTTGGAGCTATCTCAGAGTTGCGCTCACTTGCGCTGAAAGGTGGGATCTAATACCTTTCGCTGCTTCACAGGATTTGGATGCTTTCGCCAAACATTTCGACTTTGTTAGATACAACTAAGCGAGAGTAGGAGATCCTTTTTCACTGGCTCTTGACAATGTGTAAGTACCGTAGCTGCTAGCTTGTCGCTGGCTTTTGCGTTGTCGTGGCGCGTGTGCTGTACCAACTGCCAGGCAGCAGAGCACTTGAGGTTCTCAATGCCCGATGTACATGTCTCCGGAAAGGAGTGGTGGTTTCGTGAACTTTCCAACGACCGCATGATTCCAAAAATAGAACAGCTACTTTACCGCTGGAAAACTACATAGTCTAAGAATCACTTTGGCATGGTTTGAAAATGCTGTTGCTGCGCGGCGGCTGCGGCAGCTTGCTGCTGCGCCAACAAAGCCTGCTGCGCCTGTTTGCTTGCAGCGCTCAGGGTCTTCAACTCTGTGATTATGTTGGCACACAGTGTCATGAACGAGAAGGCATCGCCAGATACTTTTTGGAAATCAAGAAGGTAGATGTTCTGCTGCACCTTGTACAAGGTGAGTCCAATCTTGATCGAATAGTCGTGCATTGAAAGGTTTGGGACCCTAGCAAGATGTCCATCGTCTCCCGCGATGATTTTCATCCTAGCTTTTGCCATACCTTTTCTTTCCTTTGCATCAACATCCATCGCTTCGCCGTCGGCATCAGCTTTGCTCCAAGCGCCCTGTGGCATTTCCCCTCCAGCGGGCGGGGCTATACCAAAAGTACCTGCAGCCGCTCGGAAACCTCCTCGAGGTACATTTGGTCTCCACTTACACTTGATTCGGTAAGACGACAACTGCAACCATTCACACCCCAACGCCATGAGTGCCTTGTACACTTCGTTCATGACATGTGCGGGGTCCTTTTTACTTTGAATACCCAGATACCACCTACGTGTTCGTCTCCCGTGTTGGTGCTGGGCAATCATGCCAGTGTTCCCCGGGATGGAGGAAGTCATTTGCACGACAGGAGGCCCACCTACTCCAACAGGACTCGGTGACTGTTGACCAGGCGTTTGATATTGGGATTGGTGCCCACCACCTGGATGCATGAGAGCTCTGGCCGCTTCTTCTGCTAATCTAGCTTGATTTGATGGTGACCCTGCATGAGCAGCAGCACTGGGGGACATTGATGTGGATGAGTAAGTATTGCCATACTGTCTTCCATCGTGGCTTCCACCAGATGAGTACCTATTCCCGCCATAATGACTTCCTCCAGGGGTTGTTCCTCTGGAACCGCCTGGGCTAAATGCAGGCGGAGTAGCACTGGCTGCTTCCTTGATAGCTCTGGCAACCTCCATCACCCGCAATCTGGTGTGCTTATGGTCCAGGATGAGCTCATAGGCACAACGAAGATCCCTCAAGACCTTTGGTGTGCCTGAGTCTCGATTGTCTTCCAAAGCAGCAGCTCGCTCAACAAGTTCACGAGTGATAATGCCTTGTGGCAACTGGTGCTGGGGCATACTCACAACACCATTCATCAAATGGTTTCCATTGGGGCACAGGTTCCCATAGGCCTTGTGAAAAGGTAGTTTCATGACTTCATCAATGACTTCACGATCAACTACACGTTCTTGTTTTTCCATGAGCTCTGGTGGGTGTCGTAGATAAGGTGGAAGTTTGTGTTGAAACCATGGATGCAACCGGATTTCAGGAATGGTGATCCTCTTCATCGGGTCTACTTCCAGCATGCGTGGGATAAGGTTTTTGGCCAATTGTGACAAGTGAGTTGGTAGGCTGTACATTCCGCTCTTAATTTTCTTGAAGAGATTTGGAATGGACTCATCGTCAAAGGGAAGCGAACCACACAGCAATGCATAAAGGATGACTCCACAAGACCATACATCCACTTCAGGCCCAGCATAGAGATGACCACTGATAACTTCCGGGGCGGCGTAGTTGGGAGAACCACAAGATGTCCTCAGGAAATCTCCATCTCTCATCAAGTTGGAAAGCCCAAAGTCAGCAATCTTAATATTCAAGTTTGCATCGAGCAGAAGGTTCCTAAAAATTGCAATTGAGTTGAGTCGAACAAACTGTTAGAATCTTCTGTTGCTGATTCTGAGTACAAATTGTATGCGGAATCACTCACTCCGGCTTGAGATCGCGATGAACAATTTTTTGGAAGTGGCAGTACTCCACTCCAGAAATGATTTGATGGAAGAAATTCCTGGCCTCGTCGGCGGATAGACGCCCCTTGGACACAATGTAATCGAATAGCTCCCCTCCCGAGACGTATTCATTAACCAAGAAGATATCTGTAGGGGTATCGATGACTTCGTACAACCGAATAATGTGAGGATGGGTGCACAGGTGTAAGATGTTGATTTCTCGTTGGACTTTTTCTTCCATCCCCAGCTGTTTGATTTTTGCCTTATTCAGGATCTTCACAGCTACTTTGTGTCCTGTCACCACATGGGTAGCAAGTTTGACCTACCGCATAATGAGGCAACCATGAGAGAAATAATTAGCTGATTGACGCCCGGGGCCGATGACACCAACGAACACAACCATGGAGTCCGTGGTGACACCCTGCGGATCCCCTCGTTCTCACCTTTCCAAAAGCCCCGATACCCAGGTTTTTGCCCAGGATGAATTGTCCGATCTGGACGGGTGCTTCCATCTTGCCTTGTGCCTCTGCAACTTGAGGCTTGAGGTCGCGGGGGATGCTGGTGGGAGCAGTCAATTCAATTCTCGAGTTGTTGGTGCCTTGGCTGCTGTCAAGAGTCGATTCGATTCGAGTGACAGTCGTCACGCCTTGAATGGAGTCTGCCAAGCTGCCAAGGCACAATGCAGCTGTGATATGTGAGGATGTGCCGCTTGGGGTTGTGGTTGGGGTGGAACCGTGCATGGAAGCCTCCATCCAACCGATTCAGTCACCTTCGTGAACCAATGAAGATCCACCGTGCGATCCTGCATTTTTATTGTTATCTTTCGATCGAAGACCGTTGGCGACTGGCGACGACCATGGTGCTCGGCATTCACAAAAAGAAGAGCACCTGACCATGAACAGCGCCTCCAGCCAAGAAGATGAAGGGGTCTGGAGAGAACGTTGATAGGGAACATGCCACTGTAAGGAGGCGACGAGAGGAACTGGATCGACTCAAAGAGAAGCAACAGCAAAAGCGTTCCACGGGTGCCTCGGCAGGAATCCGCGGGCCAAGAGCAGCAGGCCCACCAAGAGGAGCCCCACCTCCTCCAAGGGTGGCGGTCGGAAATGGACCACCATTAGGAGGGCCTCCAAAACAAGCGGCCTCACCCGTCGCGAGGAAGTTGGAGTTTGCTAAAGGGAGATCGCCCGCGCCTCCCTCCTCTCGAGCCCGCAGTGCTCCTCCCACGAGACCTCCACCTCCTCCTGGCCCACCTCCCATGGCAAAAGAAGCTCCTGATTTCACGCCTTCCAAGCATCTGGCTCCTCCAACACCCTCCAGAGACAGGTCTCCAGGAAGAGCTCCTCCCACCACACCGGCCCGTGGCTTTGCTGCTCGACCGCCACCAACCACATTCGGCTCAAAACCCAAAGCTGCCCCTGGTGCTCCTCCTATCATGCCTGTCACACCAAGAGGAAAACCACCTTCCCCTGTCGTGACACGTCCAGTGGTGGCTCCGGTTCGACCTCCCTCGCCAACAGTTGTCAATTTGGGTTTACCCAAACCAGAAGCACTCAGCGACGGACCACCGAAGCCGACAAACATTCAACCAAGGGCTCCATCTCCGACCGTAATTAATTTTGCGCCTGCCCCCATGCCCATGGCTGATGGACCACCAAGGGATCCGTCTCCAGCAATGCTGAATGCAAAACCAGTCAGCGTCCTCGATGGACCACCCACAGCGCCGGAAATTGTCACAGTAGGAACAAAGTCAGAAATTTCAATGGCAAATGATGGACCGCTAAGCCTGGCACCAGAGTTGGTTGTCGAAAAAGAAGACACAGCATCAAAACCAATCGTTCCGATCCAGTCTAGGCGAAACATGATTCAAACTCTGGCTCTTGGGGCTGATACGCCGGCAAAGATCGTACCTCCAACATCAGATAACACGGCAATTTCAGACAGCCCGGCTGTCGCGGCCCCCGAAAGCAGCTTGTTGCGCCTCGAAAAAGAAGTGCGGGAACATGAAAAGGCCAAGGCGGATGCCCTGCGAAGAGTGGCTTTGTTGGAAGAACAGCTGCAGAAATTCAAAGAAAAAGGAGATGCCTCGGACCAGCTTGGAACGCTGCTCGCCATTGCGGATAGAGACGGAGACGCTTCTGCACTCCATTGGGCCAGGGCAAGTGCGTCAGGGGAGACACCCAAGGCAATGTCTCAGACAAGCTTTTTCTCTCCTTTGAGCCCAGGCCTCGCCACGCCCAGGGCTGGCAGCCACAAGCGTGCCCCAACTCCTCGTCCAAAACTAGACAAGGGTGACGGCAACGAACAATTGGGAGTAGATTTGTTTGGTGAGGCCGTGAAATGCACGCCTTTCGAGTTCACGACGGACCTTGCGACCTTCATAGTCAGGCGACCCCACGATATGGCTACTGAGCGTGAACTGTGGTTTACTTCGGGATATGCGAATGCAAAGAAGTATGCGCGACAGGCGGACGTGAGGAAGCCATACACGCTGGAAGTGGTTGCTATTGTCGCGGCCGATTCGAGTACACTAACTCTCAGCAGCAACAGCGATGTGCGCCACAACAATGTCGAGTCCGATGAATGGAAAGAGTTTGGAAATGTTGACAAGATGTTGAAACCACTCGGAACTGTCACGTACATTGATACTGATGCCGTGGAGAAAGATTATTCACTTGGTGAGAAGTGCAGGTCGGGAGTGTATGGTCTCCTGGTGCATTGTGTTGCTTCAATTGTCTAATTTTTTGTTTCGTTTTCAGATGAAATTTACGAAGGTGCTGTATCCGCAAGAGAGACCTACTGCACTTCTGTCATGTCGATGGCCCTCGGTCTAAAAGTGAGAGGACCCGCTGTGAACCAGGCGCCAGCCCCCAGTCCGGTCCCTCTCCCTACCAAGAAACCAGTGCAAACGTCAGAGATCGGCGTCAACACGGATGACTTGCCGATTCCTGCAGCTAGTCAGCCCGGAGCTCCAAAAGCACCCGAGGATCTGGGGAACCCAAGCCGGAAATTCCTCCCTCGAAAGAACCGCAGCCACCTCCACCCGATATTGATGATGGCCCGGATACTGTGACGCTAGTCCTCGGTGCTTTTGTTTCATTGCTGCTGTGGACGGGGAAGACTGCCCTTATTACCTTCCCCATGAAGATCCTGCAGTCTTTGATATCTTTGCTTCTGTTCTGTCTCCTGGTTTCTCTCTTTTCCCTGCAAGTAGAGGATGGAGTGCCAATGGGGTCGACCCATTATTTCAGCAAGGGGGCTCTGTAGGCATTTTTGGGCGATACGATGGAGTTCTCGATGTTAGCAGGTGCCGTTTATTGTGGATTCGATTCAACGCTGTAGAAAACGGAAAAGTGAAGACAAATTGAATGATTCGATTCAATCGGATGAACATAGTTCAGTGTTTGTGGTGTTCCATTTAGTGGCATCAGGTATCTGGTGTCACTCGAATCTTCTCAGCTACTAGCTAGTATTCCGGTATATAAGAACTAAGAAATACTAGAAAAGCCTACACCAGAAGATCACATGCAAGTTGTCAACTCGGCTGTTACAGTTTTTTTAATTTTCCTCCTCATCGTCGGCATCAGCACCAATATCCACACCGTCTGGGTGCTCCTGTCGGAATTGTCTCACAAGTTCCATTTCATTGTAATGCCTCTTTCGATGCTCCCGGAATTCGAGCTTTCTCATTTCCTTTTGACGATCGTCGTCTTCGTCTGGAGGATCGCCACCGTGTGATGAAGGGCTCGAGGGAAAGGCATCCTGAACCGCAGCAACGCTGTCGAGCCGATT